AACAACGACGACGATGATGATGATGATGATGATGATCCAGTGATGGTGACCTACAGAAGAAATTTGTGAAAAAATAATTCGAAATACAAGTTGAAGCTTTTTAAAAAAAATCGAGAAATTCAAATCGACTATACGAAGCGAATAACGAAGAAATAGAAAGATTGACAGCTACAGTGATTGTCTTTAATTACCAACAACATAAAATTCAGAGTTTTAGTAACAGTAAAATTTTAACTCTCACAGTCATCCACTTCCATTCTGAAGCAAATTAATCCTGAAGTGTTCTCTCGAGCTAATTAATTAATCGATTAATTTACGCGCAAATACAGTTTACTTCAAGTTTCAACCGATCGATTAATCAATTTGCCGACTCTACTGCATTCGCTCTCGTATTCAAGGTTAATTGTACGGTATACGTTATATACAAATATACGTAGTAGACACGTTCAACGTGCACAACAACTCCTCAAACGCATCTGTAAATTTACAAACGAACGACAATTAGAATAATTTTACAAAACGTACATATAACGTAACGTGTTTTTTTTTTTTTACATAATTGATCTTCTGAATCACCAGTTTTATTTACATCGTATTACAAATTTCACGTTTAAGTTTCAACGGTTCGAGTAAATATTTCGATATTTACTAAATAATTTAAATCTTCTTGGACGAGAATTTCTTCTCCCCCCTTTCCCAAGAACGGAACAACATTCAGTTTACCTTAAGTTAAAAAAGCGAACTTGTTCCCTTCTCCAAGAATTTTAATATCTCGTAAAATTTTACACGTATGGACAGAATCGTTATTATCGTCTCACAAGGCACTTTCATTTCACGAAAGAATCTTAAAATTCAAAAAAAAAAAAAAAAAAAAAATTCTATCAACTTCTACCACGAATATAAATTTTATTATCATCAAAATCGTACCTCATCAACAATTGGGATTAATAACAATTATTCTAGAAAATAACTCTCACGAACATTCAATTTTTTTTCTTTTCCCCATAATCGAGCAACAAAATTCTTGAACGTCGAGAAACTTCATCGATGATCCAACTTATCGAATCATGACAGTCTTTGTTTAATTCTCTTATATACTCCTTTATATACACACATATATATATATATATATATATA